CCTTGGTATTCTGGCCGTGGACTTCGGTTTCTTGGCCGTTGCTCCACTTTTCCTCGATGTCCTCACCGTGGGCTTCGGTCATTTTTTCCCCCACAGTATCGGCCGATGTGGACGGGTCATGTAATGACGCCGGTCGCAACATTAAATACACCTTCGCGTGTAAAACAAGATTCATCAGTGGATTGTTCGCACAAAACCAGGTTGATTTTCCTCTTGTGCCAATAACGATTCACAGAAATTTAGTCTATGGTCGTAATCTTGTGGTAATAATTTTTGAACTCTTGTGTAATTGATAAGCGTGCATTTTATTTTCTTAAAATGCGTTGTATCGAGCTTCTGGACATTTCAAATTGTCGATTTAATTTTCATATAGTGATGCTTGGATTTTCATTTATCGCCAACAAAATTTTTTCCTCATTTTCATCTCCACGAACATTACGTTCACCACCAACACGACCTTTCCTCACAGGCACAACAGATCCTGTTTCTCGGATCCGATTTATCAAACGCAAAAATACGTTTCCAGCCGGAGATTTTCGTTCTGGACGCGCAGCATATTCCCTCGCGGCAACTTCTGAATTTTGATTACATTCGCCATAAATAATTATCGTATCACAGTATTCGTTAGACGTATAATCCATTTTAATTGTGTAAAATTAATGCGTTGATACACTTTCCACGAATTTTTGAGGTCGTTTGTTTTTTCATTTGTTAATTTCTGTCTTCTTAGCAACAAAAATGTGCATCGATTTTACTCAATTGAAATAAATTATACATATAACAAATACTGTGATATGTTATTTATTAATTACTTATGGCGAATCTGTTGTGAGGAAAGATCGGTTGGTCGTGATTACCATTAATACCAATTAATATTATTTCTCTTATCTTATTTTTATTTATTGATATTCTATACTGATTTTATACTGATATTAAAAACAATCACAAATAAATGAGACAAAACTTAAAAGCGATTTCTTTGTCATTATATAAAAAATTGAGACGCTTAAAATTTTGTTGGCGATAAATAAAGATTCAAACATCAGTATACGAAAATTAAGTCGATGATTTGAAGTGTCCAAAAGCTCGATACAACGCATTTTAAGTGAAAATAAAATGCATGCTTATCATTAGACAAGAGTTCAAAACTTATTACAACAAGATTACGAACGTAGAGTAAATTTCTGTGAATGGTTATTGACACAAAAGGAAAATCAACCTGGTTTCGCGCGAACAATTCTGTTCACTGGCGAATTTTGTTTTACACGCGAAGGTGTACTTAATATCCATAATTCTCATATTTGGAATAACGAAAATCCTTATCAATACGTTATTCGAAGTTATCAACATCGTTTTAGTAAAAAATCTGTGGACTGATGTATTGAACGATTTACTAGTAAATTTGTACGCGAACCTTCGACTGAACGTTTTTCGCGCACACAACTATTTTATTTTATTCGCCGGTTCGTGAACGGGAGCGGATAATAACGAAGCACCGCTGAGGTGAACAGATACTACGGTCTTTATTACTTGCTGAGATACAGAAAAAGACGCGATCGTTACAGAGCGTCGAGCGATACGTGCTCGCGGTACCTGATCGTCCGAAATTCTGGTTAGCGAGTCGCTGCTCCGTTTCTGTCCCGCAGGAGCATCGCGGATCAGGACTCGCAATGATTGGCGGAACAGTCGCACGGTGCTAACTCACTCAATCCGGCGTGAACGCGCCGGTGTGACGAGAGCACTTTTTGCCTGTTTATGCATTCCGATGAAAAGCACGTAATAGTCGGAGCACGGGCCGACCGAGGGAGAAACACGCGCGAAGCATGAGTCGGTCCCGTGCCCGAACAAAATTAATTTGTTATATTATATGATTTTTAAACTAAATTATGCAAACAATAAAACCAATACAAATAATAATAAAAGAAGTTAAAAAGGGCCAACGAGCCAAAGCTTGGGTGTTATATCGCTCCAATATGTATTTATTAATTTAACAAAATCATTATTTAAATAACAAACGTTTCGACCCCGAACGAGTCATTTTCAATGTTACTATAAATTAATTAATGCCTAACATAAATTAAAACCATTACAATAACTTGATACGCTCACAATCCGCATTTACATAATCGCAGTCCAATACAAATAATGCTTTCAATTGCTTTTTTTAAATGTATAATTAATTATGATGAATAATGCTTTCAATTGCAGATTTGGACCTTTTGAAATGCCTGCAAAACTGAATGACGTTATGTATAATAATTTTTTAACCCATGATTTACCGGAGTTATTAGAAAATGTGCCATTAAATGTACAGTATATAACGTTTATGTAAGACGAAGCGCCACCGCATAATATGCCGCAATCACGTATTGTTCAGCAGACGCTAAACGATAGATTTTTGCATAAATAGATTGGACACGGTGGTCCTAGAAATTGGCCTGCCCGATCACAGGATCTAAATCTTATAGACTTTTTTTTATGGGATCACTTAAAACAATATGTTTACCAGGAACCAATTGGTGATCTCGTAGAATTAGAAGACAAAATAATAGAAGCCATTGCCACTATAACGCCTAATATGATTATTAGCGCTACAACAAATATTCTTCGACGCGCCCAATTGTGTATTGAG